GCACGATTTATGCATTTTTAGGCAAGCTCGTACGGCAACTGCGCACACCATTCTAGGGCATCGCCGACGATTTCAGGTCAACAAGCCAGAACTGGCCGTTTCAGTGTCCAGGATTTGTCGAATACACTTTTTTCAGACTGTCGACCGCCATGCAAACGCTGCATGAGTTTTAGTTCTTCAGTTTAGAGGCTCCAAGTGGTAGCTTATACCCTGTGCTGCAATCAAGATAGATCGGGGGAGGTTAGTTCCATACGATTATATAGTCTGTAGTGCAATGATGTGAATCGTGTTTGGTCATTCGACTCAGATGTGCCAGCAACCGTGATTGGAACATCAGAAAATATGCCGGAAGCAATCACTTAAACGCCTATTAATAACATTTCCCGAATTTTGTCTGCCCACCTTGCATGACCGCAAGAGACTCCATCAAAACGCCATATATTGGCCTCATGATGCCGAAAAGAATCTTCGTATCAAGAGAAATGCATATCCGTTACGTCATGGGCGTTTACAAATGTTGTCTTCTTGTTAGATCTCCTTTGTTCCAAATCCATAAAAAAGTATCTTTCCCCAGGGGCTTTATACAGCCAAAGTATATTGACCCTTTGATGTAACTCCTAAAATAAAATGTTATTTTGTGCTTGGCAGTTCAGCAGTAAATATATTCCTAACGCGCCTCTTTAAATCGAAGAACTAGCGGCCTCGGGGCATGCAGATAGCGAATCTGTTCCATTGAAAGCTGAGAAAGACATGTTTATTAGGGCAGTTTTATGAAAAGCAGTACACCCAGAATACACAAAACCAGTGCCAAAAAGGAAATGAGAGAGAGAAAAACCAAAATAGACAAAGCAGCAAAATAGAGGAATCTGAGGGGGTGGAATGTGAAGAGGAGGACAAAAGCAGAAAAGCCGCAAGTTTAAAACTGCACGCGATGCATGATCGACGTGAGGAATGACACACGCACACACTTCAGATGTTCATAAAGTTCTCCTTGTCAACAGACATTAAACACACAGACAGGGTACCCTTCATCCTGGCACCGGTCTCCTTCCCGCTCGGTTTACAAAACAGGTCAACATCGAGGTTCCCCGCCGTCTCGGTACCAGTCGGCAGGAAGATGTGTTGTCCAAGGAAACCCGCGGCGCCTACCGCTCTCTTGTCGAGGACCTGTCGGAAAAAAGGGGAGATAAACAACTTGAAAGAAGGGCTAAAAAGAGCAGGCCAGAATGTCACATTCATCACCTTTCAAAGCGCGGTGAGAGGGCATTAACTGCACGACGCCAATCATTCGACTCATAGAAGGGTAAAAGACAACGTCGCGTCAAATATTAAAGGAATTTACGAATTTTTTAACCATGTATGCCAGTAAATCGAAAATTTCCCCAATTAAAGCCAGGCAAAGTGTATGCTGTCTATGTCCACCAGGCTTTCCTTAAGCGGTGTGGTATGTCTCTATCCATTGGGGAGCGGGGGGCGATAATCCACTCGAAAGCAACTAGATTACGTTAAAGGTACATCAAGAGCTCGAGGAGCCATAGACACACAAAAGAAGTCACTCCTATCTCATTTGAATTTGTGGATAGCAGTGGATTGTACCTTCGGAGGATGCACACGAAAAGGCAATAGGCGGACTGCAACTGTTACGCCTACCCAGACAGGTTATTCATCGGTTTACAGCGACCATCAGTGCGGCGCAAACCGTAATTCGACATAATCGAGAGGACGAAAAAAAACTACTAGAAGGGGTCGAGCCCAAGGCATGACGGACAAAGAGGATTGCGAGTTTATTACCTTGAAGTTTGCTAGGGAAACCAGGAAGGCTGGCTGGTTGACCGCTCACAAGACTCAGCTGCCACCTCATCGATAACCCAGTAGGTGAATCCACCAGAAGGCCGGTGATTATTACGGTAGTTGGCCTGTAGAGCACGATGATGGTTGCCAAAACAAGCAAAAGTGATTGAGAAGAAGCAGCCGTGATCGGTGCGACAAGAATTTTATTCGTCCAACGCTTCGAAACCCCTCCCGGATCCATATTCAGTGCTGAGGCTCAGTTTAGCTAGGACAATTTTCCATT